GGGCATATTAAAGTTTATTAGAGCGACACCGGTTAGGATCCTACGGTTCCCTCATTCCGACACCACTATTTTCTATTGGATTCACTTAGTCGAAATGAATTTACTAAACTCAACTTAATGAGTTCCATAATTTCATTTAAACCGTGAGAAGCCTCGTTAGTAACCGTAGGTTAGCTCCTCCGAGGAATTTCTGATCATCCGATAGAGATGTCTTAGTTTTGTTAAAGTTGTAGTTTTGTGTGATGTTTGTGATTAAATTTTGAGTTGTTTTATATTTTGAATGTCGTGGGGGTGAATTTTATCTTGGTTGATTTTAGTTTTAGTTTTGGTTTTGGTTTTGTGGATATCCTAATAGTTTTAGTTTTCATACAGGGTGGCGCCATTATTTAGCATGAAAATTTGCAGGTATAAAAGTACATTATGAACGTACAAGAAAGACGACGCTAAAAACTATAAAAGCGTACTTGTGAGTCTTCTCATTCTACCACCTAAAACTTAAAAGGCATGTTAAGGCAGTTTATACGAAATAGGGAAGTAAAATTTTGACGACCTATATAATCCTAGGTCATATCTTGGTGGGTCCTCAGGAGTTTAGTTAAGGATGATGTTGCCAAGCAAAATATAATAAGTTTAATAGATCTCCGAGGTATCCAACAGATTTAGAGAAAAGAGCAGGTCCGTGCTACTCTCTCGCTGCCTAGTGGAAAATCCCGAGTTCTTTTAAACTTATTATGTTGCTTAATAATTTATCTTGTAAATACCGTTGGTGCTCAATGAACATTTATGTATCAATTATCCCTCAGAATAGGGTAATTATCATCTGCAATTTAATTTTGAAGATTATGTGGATGAAGACCTTTAAAGAGGCTAGTGTTATTGGAACACAGAACCAAATTTTAGTCCTAATTAGGCTTATAGTGTTTGAAATATGATTTTAATGGATATATACTTTTCTAATCCTCATTTAAATGAAACTTGATTTAGCCTAAGTCACTACTAAGCCCTTAAGACCTAGGTAGTGTCTTAGTTTGTTTTAAAAGGTTAAGTTTTAGGAGGTCATTATTAATGATTTGAATTTTATTTGAAAATCAAAATAGGAGTATTAAATTGATTAATTATTGACTTCAAAAGTCATACCCCTAAGTCCTGGATTCATTTTATTTTAATAAACTTCTAAATTTTAATAATTTAGAAATTTATTAAGTTATATTTTCAATTAAGAAAATGAGCTTGGTTTCTACCAATTAACCCCTTGTATTTCAAACATCTAAATTAAGATTAGAGGTTGCCCATTTCCCTCCTTGATTTAAGTCTAAATGTAAATTAAGGCTAAATTTCCAAAATTACACATTTGCCCCTAAGGTTCTAACACTTCATAATTTGTCAAATTCAATTCAAATGACTTTGAAATTTTTATCCTACCCATTCATGAGTTAATTAAGGCATCAGAGGAGAAAATGTGATTTTGAAAAATTTAATTTAATTTATGCAATTATTTTCATGCAAAAATAGGATTTTTCAAAGAAAATTCCTAACTTGACCAAGGTAAATCCTAATCCCTTAAAATTTTTTACTGGAGGTAGACCTTGGCTAGAAACTGGAGATAGACCTTGGCTAGAAAAGCTTTTGGACCAATTTTCATGATTTTTTGAATTTTATTTGAATTTTAAGAATTATTTTAAGTTCTGGGGTATTTTGATAATTTGGCCAATTTTGGTGATTTTGGGTAGTTTATGTGTTTTCAAGGTATTTGAAATGATTTTCTGAACCAAGTTGGTTATTTTGGGTAAATTTGAGAATTTTGGCCAAATTTGGGGTCCCCAAGATATCTAGGTAATTTGGGGGAATTTACGGGCAAAAGGATAAGTTGGGTATCTTGGTAGAGTTAGAGTACCAACTACCATAAATAAGCCATGGACCAATAGAAATCCCATTTTGGGTCCTCTATGTAGTGATCTTAGCCAAACCCTAGCATAAAGCTAATGGGTTTAGAGGACCACATACATGAGTCTCCCAAAAGTATTAAGGGATAGAAACCTACAAGTTTAAGTTTAGGATAGTGAGTGATAGTGAGTGATTGTGAGTACAAGTATGTACCTTAAGCCCTAGACCAACACCCATGGTCAATGGTGAATCCTACGGTCCAACAGTCCTAAGGGTGACTCGCCTTGAGTTCCCCGATAGTGAACCCACCTACTAAGTGCTAGAGGTTAGGACCAATATGTGGAACTTCAAGTTGAGTAGAGAAGAGTTTGAATTTCTAATGGTTTCTAAGAATAGTCAATAGGAAAGTCCTATGGCTAGACCTTAGGCTACTAAAGAGGGAAAACTAAACCTCAACTAAAAGTGAGGTTAATAGTTGCATCCTATAAAGCGCTTGGTTTTACATCGTCAGCCCGACGTAACCAGTGCTCATTCTGGTTGACCCAACATCATTCCATCATTATATTTATGCTGATCCCCTATATATTTGCCTGGAAAGAATCTTAACCTCAAAACTTGTTGCCCTGGCTGAAAATTTTTAGTAAGTATCTTTCGATCATGCCACATTTTCATCTTTTCTTTATAAATTTTAGCACTCTCATAAGATTCATTCCGGTATATAACGAGTTACAACAATAGTAGAAAGCTACTTTCGCAGTTTCAGGCAGGTTACACCCGCACAAGAGTATAGCTGAGATATATCACGGTTACGAGCGCGTTACAGAGTCCTGTACTGCGGAAGGTATATCTTGGGTATACTCCGGTTACAAGAGCGTTACATGGATCTGTACCGCGGAATGTACATGACTAGTATATCCCAGTTATAATCGGGTTACAGCAGGCCGACCACGGGAGATATACGAAGGGTATATCAGAGTTACATGTCAAGGTACAAACGGGTTACACCACGGGCCGGGTAACGGGTCACGCTCGGATATATTTCGATTAATTATATTTATTTAATAAAGTGGGGTCCGTAAAAAATTATGTGACATTTTCTTATTAGATATCACAAGCAAATTTTTAAACTCACCAAATAGACTCCTAGACTCACGCAAATTTTTTCCTAACGTTAAGCGTGGGCCTTGTGTTGTCTTCGGACCTAAAGTTCACAGGCGGCGACGGCAGCGAAAGGCAATGGCAGCGAAAGGCAATGCCCCTCGCTGCATCGAGCACAGGGCGTACGCTCGTGTGGGGCTTCTGGGTAACCCTAGCGACCTCTACTTCGGCCGCACCATCTCCTTCTCAATCGGCAACTTCTGGGCCTCCGTTCGCCTTGAGCCGTCTGAGAATCTCGTTATTCGCCCGCATCCTAAGCATGACCTCGTCTCCTTTGATTCCCTACGCCATTTGGTATTTTCCTCATCGCTCTCAGAATTCTTTCTCTTTGATCTGATTGTCAATGGAACTTGCTGGCTATGCGGATGTTAATAACCGATTGGAAAATCGGGGATCCGTCTAACGTGCTTGCTATTTGTTAGCTTATCAAGATTTATTTTGATAGCATGTAGTCATGTTTTGAAAAAAAGCTGGAAATTTTTATATTCATCAACTGGATTCATATTGCTAGAAATTTACATTGATTTTATATTTGTTTTGTGTGACGCAAATCCTCAAAAACATTGATTTCATGTTCATACCCAAAATGCCTTAAAAAGAAATAATCAAAGTATGAAATTTATTTTCTACCTACAAGAAACCAAATAATGTTTTTGAGTTGTATGGCCCATTTGGTTGCTTGTATTAGAATACATGTTTTAAAAATGATAAGTTACTAGTTTCCATTAAAACTTGTTATGAAAATAGAAATCAATATTATTACGAACTCTGCAAAAAACTTCAAAATCCTTCGAATGTGATGATTTTATATTCACACACAGTATGAGTGGAAAAACTATCACTCTGAAGCATTTTTGTTAAAACCACATCTTATATCGAATTCCAAATCCATAATTTTGTTTATGCAGCCTCATGCTAAACTTAATTCATCCTAGTTATAATTTCATGATCATCATTTTGTATGTGAAAAAAAACTTATTACATTTAAGGGCTTTAGTGGTTTAAAATTCATTTTGATTTATAGTTGTGTCTAATCAACCAAATGATTGAAACTAGCAAATCTCCTTGGTTTTTCAAAAGATGTTTTATATTTACAAGCAACCAAAAGAACTCTTAAGGGTTTGATAAAATTATTAGGGTTTAGTTGTAAGAAATTCGATGATTGCCAATAAATTCAAGAAATTTCTTTGGTTTCTCTACAATTTTGGTTATACATATATATATATATATATATATATATATATATTAACTTATATTACCTTTTGAACTTGAACTTCATTTAATTGATGTAATTACTCATGTTGATTTGTATGGTTTTTGTTCTCACAAAATATTATGATTTAAATTGATAACAATTTGAGGAATGCATGAATCAGTTCAATTTTATTATGTCATTCATAACTAGTATAAGAACACTGCCATTACCGGTCCTAAGCTCGGATGTGAAAAGTAGAGGGCTGTGTTAGGTAGTCGACAGCCAGCGTAAAACTTGTCGAAAAAAATCATGACATAAATTCTTTTGATCATTGTGTAAGTTCTATGGCGTCCCCTGGAAACGATACACTGTATAACCTTAATACAAAGAAAAGTGTGCAAGGACAGCTACACTGGTGCCCGGGTGTAATGTCAAATAAGCAAGGGTTCCCACATTACGGACGAATGCGGGTAAAGAAATTAGTCCATGAAACTAATGAAATTAATATTATGATAGGATCTTGGAATATAAACTCTCAATGGTAAATTAATGAAATTAGTTGATATTATGATTCATTGAAAGATTAATATCTTATGTATTCAAGAAACTAAATGGGTTGAAGAAAATACTAAAAGTTCGATAACTTAGGTTTTAAACTTTGGTATTATGGTAAGAGTCGTATTAGAAAGTGTAGATGTAATTATAGATAAGAGTTTGAAAGATAATGTTGTAAAAATTAATAGAGTTGGAGATAGAATTATAGCCCTTAAGATTATCATTGATACTAAGATTTTTAATATTATAAGTGTTTATGCTCTTCAAATAGATTTAAATATAGGGTCTAAAGATAAATACTAGAATGACTTAGAAAACTTAATACAAATGATACATCTTGAAGAAAAAATTTTTGTTGGAGGAGATTTAAACGAACATGATGGTAGAGTGGTAGAAGATTTAAAAAATATTCATGGTGGCTACGGTTTTGGAGTGTGTTTTGTACTGACTAATGAAAAAGGTAGAACTATTTTAGATTTTGCTGTGTTTTGTACTGACTAATGAAAAAATTAGAACTATTTTAGATTTTGCTTTAGCGTATAATTTTGTTATTACTAATACTTTATTCAAGAAAAGAGATGAGCATCTACTTACTTATAAGAATGAATCTAATAAACATAAATTGATTATTTTCTTATGATATGAAGAGATCGTCGGGATTATAAAGATTGTAAGGTCATTCTAAGTGAGGATTTAAGTACCCAACATCGTTTATTAGTTATATATTTTAAGATGAAGAGTTGTAAAATAAAAAATACTAGGACACATCATCGTAGAATTAGATTGGGGAACCTAAAAGACAATAAAATTATTTTTATGAGTAAAATTCAATATTTTAAAATTTGAGATGTTCATGAAGAAACAAATACTATGTGGGATAAAGTAACAAACACTATTAAACAAGTAGTGAAAGATGTACTTAGAAAATCAAAAGAAAAGTTTTTTTAAATAAAAATTGCAAGAAAAGTCAAAATATAAGATGTTATGTTATAAAAATTTGTTTAAATGTAAAAGCTTAGAGAATTAAGAAAAATATCAATTGATGATCTTTATAATAAATTAGATACCAAGGAGGGTAAAAAATATATATAGACTAGCCAAACGAAGAGAAAATAAAAGTAAAGATTTAACTCAAGTGTGTTAAATATGAAAAAAAAAATTGCTTTTCTTAGAAAAATGTATTCAACATAGGTGGGTGAGTTATTTTGATAAACTTTTAATGAAATTTTTGAAAATAAGATTGAACTTAGTGATCTTAAATCTTGAATAATAACAAAATGTTTCATTTTTAACGTCACATTAGTAAACCGAGGAAGCTTTAAAGAGAACCAAGGTTGGAAATTCTGTAGGACCTGATGATATCCCAATTGAAGTATGAAAATATTTAGGAGATTCAAGAGTTTCTTGACTTACTAAACTCTTTAATATTATTTTAAAAACTAAAAAAAATGCCTGAGGAGTGGAGGAAGAGTATTTTGGTCCCCATTTTTAAGAATAAAAGGGATGCACAAGAGTTTGCAAATTATAGAGGAATTAA